CTGGGCTGTAGTGTACTAGACCACTGAAATAGTTTTAAGAGCTATTGCGTTGAGAGACTGCTTTAAACACATTACACAGCACAGTTTGCAAGGTTAAGTGCTTTTTGACATGTAGTTGACTTTCTTGGACGTTGCTTCTCCATTGGGGTACTATTATTTTCTTAGGATTTTGCTCAGGATATAAAATCTGTTTGTGCTGCTAATGATTAGAATAGATACATTCTTGTGATATCCTGTATAGAGGCTTGTGGCACTTGATGTGTAAATACTGTTAAATGTGTGATGAGCTTTAGGTTCATGCCAATCACTAATATAAATAACACTTTAATAGCTTTCTCTTAGAAACAGAAGTAAAAATGCTCGTTGGGCCCATTCTCCTTTTCTGTTCATATACTTCCTATTCTGCTCCTTGTTATAGCAAAATACCCAGGAACAGATTTCTATATTCCACATTTCTACTTCACTACCCAACCACTGTAATTCAAGCATTCTAGTCTCAGTTTTACTTCTCAGTTTTGCTCTTGTATGCTTCTATTACCATATCATTATCAGTGATGATTTTGAAACATAAATCATCCTGTGTAAAATCAGTCTGCAACCCAGACATAGAGGAGCACCCTGTGACTGCAGAACTCTGGGAGACTGAGGAAGGAGAGTCATAAGTTCAAGCACAGCCTGAGCAACTTCGTGAGAACTTGTCTCAAAATAAAAAAGTAAGAAGGTCTGGGGATGTATCTCAGTGCAAAGACCTTGTGCTCATTCCTCAGTACTACAAAAACAAATACACAAACAACAAAATGTTTCCAGACCCACGTACTTGGTTAAAATAGATATCACCAAAGTGGCAGGATAATAGATAATCACCCTTCATTCTGCCTACAAAAAACAAATATAGACAGCTGGTTTGGGGTGGGTCCGGACATTAATATTTTTAAAAAGCTGCTTAGGTATTCTGATTGCCAGTAATAACTGCGCTGACCATCAGAGCTCCTAACTTGCTCTTTGATGCTGTCTCGTGCTGGTCTCTTTACCTCTCCACTCAAGTTGGCCTCCAAGATGCTTGAACTTTGTTTTGTCCATCACTGTCTCTAGCACTAGAACAGTACCTTGTTGCACATACTCCAACAACTATTTATTGAATGAATGAGTATTTTTACAGATGCTTTTTGTTACTCTGTAATGTAGTTAGTCTATAATTAATGTTGACTGGGTTGGTAATGTGTTGAGTCTTGAGAATGTCACCAAAATGTTTGTACTGCTTGGGTCCCAGACTCCTGTACTCCATCCTCCATCCATCTTCCAAAACTGTCTTCTGCTTTGCTGTCAGAATGCCTGCTTTTGTTTTTGTCTGTTGTCATCAGCAATACTGATACTTCTGATTTTTTTTTTTTCTGGTGTCCTATTTGTGTAATTTTATTTTGTGTGATTGGTCTTCCTATTTCTTGTAGATAAAAAAGACTGGTCTTACTAGTGTTGCTAGTCGGTAAGAGAGCCTCCTTCCTTCAGTGGGTAGACGAGCCACTCATTGGGTGTCTGCTGTGTAATCTTTGGATCTCATGACCTTTGTGTAGTTTTGCTGGGTGGGCTGCTCCTTCAGTGAAAAACCCAGGTAGAATTGATAGGCAGTTAGATTTTAAAGGAAGAGATGAGTGACCCTTTTGTGTTCATACAGTGTGATGATTCGGTTTCTGCACCGCCGTGAGAGGTGCCTCTCAAACGTGCAGAGACCCGGGCATGTTACCTACGTGGTGTCAGGGAGGGGTGAAGATCAGGGAAGGTCCGTTTTTCTGAGGTCAGAGTTTGAAACTTAATTATCAGATGATAAAGATGTATTGCTTTGCTATCTGATTAAAATTAAGTGCAACATAATATTGTTTAGAGCAAGTATATCTAACTTAATACTAGGTATTTGGGGCTGTGGCATATGCTGATGGAGTATAAGGGTAGAGCCGATACCTGGACAGATGAATGTGGCCATGTTTCGTGAAACTCTTCTAAAATTTGAATTGTATATAAAACTTACATAACATTTATTCTTCTTTTGATGTGTGCCTCCTAACCATTTAAAATATTTAAAAAACATTCTTAGTTTACAGGCCATGCAAAGGCAAGCAAAAGGCAGGATTTGTTCCTTGGGCCATTTATAGTTTGTCATCCTTTAGCTTACAGGAATGGCATCCAATTCTGTGTTTGGACTTACGAAATCAGTTCTTGACCATAGTGCACTGTAACTTCCGTGGCGGGTAGCAAATTGCCTCTTTATCAAAACTTACCTTTAACTTTTATTATTTTAAAGTGTTCTTTATCAGGTTAGTGTTTGTTTGTTTGTTTTTGGTACTGGGGATCAAACTCTGGGTCCTTGTGCTTGCAAGGCAGGCAGCAGAACCACTGAGCTAAATCCCTGGCCCGTCAGGTTAGTGTTTTTGCTTCTGTGATTTAACACCTACCGTGGGACCACATTGTTTGGGTTTGACCTTTTTTATGTCTTTACAGCATTGTTTTGCTTCTGCCCTGTTGCTGCTATAAACACTGTGCCCCTTGCGCCCATGTGCAGGTGCACACATGCGCGCGCACACACTTCTTGCAGGCATGTAAAGCCCCCTCCCCACCACACACAGTTCATCTGTGCCTGTGGTGGTCACTGCCCTAACATACGACAGCTTTTTCTAAAGCAAGGGGCTTTCTGAGCTCACTGTGTCTGAGGGCAGTGCCACCAGCCCTTGTGCTTGGCAGCCAGGAAGTGCTAGGAATTTAGTAGCTGTAGAAGTAACCCTTAATCAAGAAAGCAGAGTAATGTCCAGTGTTCTCTCTCCTCACTGGGTCCATTTTTCATTTTAATTTTTATCAGTCCATTGTTGCAGTACATAATGGTTACTTTCATCGTAGGGAGTCGGTGCGTGTGCGTAACACATATTTTTTCATGTCCATGCTGATCGTGATTTCTCAGAAGGATGAACTCCACATGTCCACAGAAGTTAGTAGACTCGTTGCCTCTTTTCCCTCCATTGTGTCACTTTTACTCCTCTCAAGTGTGCTTCTTGGGATTCCCCTCACCCCAAGTAAGTTATTTACACCAAGTTCTCGTCTGGGGGTTGCCTTTTGGGGAAACCTAAATGATGTAAATCGAAACTCACTTCATCACCTCTGGGAGTCCGTTGTGTAGTCTCCCTAGTGGTGACGTTGATACTGGAGGACGGCAGAAGTGACTGGAAGCAAAGCTTGTACATCTACCCACCAGTAACTCAGTTCATCTCAGTGCTGTTCAGCTACCGTTATTCTTTGTAAGTTACTTTTTTCTGCACTTGGTTTTCTGTTCCTCAAAAGAAACATGGGTGACCAGTTACTTCGTTGTAAATGAAAAGGTTCCAACCTTGGCTGTGTTCTGTAAGCTAGTTCGGAGCCTGTTACTTCCAGCAGGTAGTTGACAAATTCTGGGCTGGAAAATAAAGATGCAGGGTACTACATACATTAAGTGTCACGGTTAGGTTAGTAGTTGTAAAGTAGCAATTACATGTGCTTTTGCAGTCAGACTTCAGGTGACATAACTGGATGAAGTTGCCAAAGAGAAAACAAATACTGAAATTCCCAAAATGGCAGTATAATCACAAGTAGCTCTAATTTTCTCCTGAAAGTATTTGCTGCGTATTTTTTTTAAATATCTGGGGAATTAAAATCTTACTCTACTTGTGATGTGTTTCTTTTGTAATGAGTTCAATTATATCAAGAAAAATTTACCATTATAAAAATCTGCCTAGGAATATCAATGTGAAAAATTTGACTTTTACATATACATCAGTTATATGTGTTAACATTCCAGACTAATACATACTTTTAAATATCTTAATAAACTCATTTTTGAAGGTATGATTGTATTAAAATTAGCTTTATACTAGAAGCAGAGCAGTAGCTCTTTTACTGTGAGGAAGTCATTCTCCCAAGTTTTTTTACCCCGGCACATTTCTTTGGTTCTGTTTTGGAGTTTGGTGGTTTTGTTTCAATACCACTTCTTTTTTTGGCATTTATTAAGTTTTTAGCAATTAATTGATCTAAGAATCTCACAGTGTTACTTTACAAACTAGCTGAGGTTACATTTTACTGCTGTGCAGTTTACTGTCTCATCTGAGTAATCAAATCCTGTGTAAATTACCTTCCTTTCATTATTTGGCTTCTTTTAATTGCACAAAACTATTAGATAGTTTAACACATATTAATGTTTTCTGTTATACTTGTCCCAAAATATGTTCAGGGGGAAAAGTTGGACAGTGCGACCTTTGAAGTTACTTTCTTGGGATATGTCTGGGAAAACAAGATTGGCGTGTAGGTTTTGTTTCTGCCTATTTTTCAGCGCTCTCTCAATATAGAGGGGGCTGCTCACGAGTGTTTGCTTCTTTGTGCTCTTCTTTACCTAGAACGTTGGGTTTTGTTCACTTTGATTTCCCCTCTTGCTTTTCACCTTCCTTAACTCACCTTACCACATTTCTGTAACCTCACAAAGCTGTATCTTTTTCACTTTTAACGGCAGAATGTTACTGTCCATTTTTCAAGACAGAGCTTGAATCCTACCAGCTCTGCTTTTTAAAATTAATCCTTATAGGGCTGGGAATTTAGCTCAATGGTTCTGCTGCCTCCTCACAAGCATAAGGCCCAAGTTTAATCCCTGATACCAAAAAAAACACAAAATTCCTCCTTATAATTGTACCCCATTTGTACTCTGAAAACATGGAGCACTTGCTCTGTCATTCTTCTTCTGTTTGTATTAAACTTCAATGTTGTTGGTTAACTTTGTGTGTTCTGCCTGAGTTACCTTGTACTCTGGCTTCTTAGGGTAGTTAATATGTTTTCTCAGCTGTTCGCATTTCTTTTGTACCTTTCATATTACAGCATTTGGTATCTATTGTTTGTGTTAAATACTCAGTGCAGTTTTCTATGTTTAATTTCTCTCCCGTAATCTTGATGATTTTTTAAAAGAGCTTTGCTTGTTTATTGTTTGTTTTTTATAGATGTAAAAAAGGATTGGTCCGATCATGCTCTGTGGTGGGAAAAAAAGAGAACTTGGCTGCTTAAGACACACTGGACCCTGGATAAATACGGGATTCAGGCAGATGCCAAGCTGCAGTTCACCCCCCAGCATAAACTGCTTCGCCTGCAACTTCCCAACATGAAGTATGTGAAGGTGAAAGTGAATTTCTCTGACAGAGTCTTCAAAGCTGTTTCTGACATCTGTAAGACTTTCAGTAAGTATTAAATTCTTCCTTAAAATATCACTTCTGAGATAATGTGTACGATGATTGTCATGTACCGTAACTTATCCCAAGGGGTGGGAATTAGGGTGAACTATGTATAGTTATTTGAAATTTATACTTCATTATTTAGAATTTTTAAATAATTTAAGATAAGTGTTGAGGCCTGGCGTCACGGCTCATCCCTGTAATCCCAGCTACTCAAAAGCCTGAGACAAGAGAATTGGAAGTTGGAGGCCAGCTTGAGTAACTTACAGAGGCCCTGTCACAAAATAAAAATTAAATACCAAAATTTAAAAATAGGTCTGGGTATGTGCTCAGTAGTAGTACACCGGCCTACCATGTGCAGGGCCCTGGTTAAACCCCCAACCCCCACTGAAGGGAAAAAAATGGAGAGAGAAAGCAGAAATACTGGGTCATGAACAAGAGGACTCTTGGAAAGATTTTTCTCTTGACTAGAATTGTACTAGATGTTTATTGTATAATACCTTTTCCAATGACTTAATTTTATGGAAAGGGGAAAGGAACAGGAGTTTTCAGAGGAATGTGGCTTTTTCACTGTTTCCTTTACTAAATCACTGTTTGACTTTAGTAATTCGGGGAGGTTGTGTCACTTCCTTCACTGAAGACCTGACACATCTCCTAAGGAAATGCCTTGAGTGCCGTCTTCCTTAGCTGGTCTCCCATTTGGCCTCTTCAGTCATGGTTCTATTTATGATTTCTGAAATGAGATGTGGATTACTTTTGGCTGACCCAGTTAGGTCACATGACAGGAAATATTTGGGCATCTGAGAAGATGTGAACTATTATCACCACTAGTACATAACTATTGGATTTGTTCCTTTTTAAAATTCTTGGTTCAAGATACTTTTAATTTTTAATATTTTATTTACAAATAAAACTACAGCTTTTTATGCATGTTTTACTCAAATTAAGAATTTACCAATATGAATTGAAATTCATATCAAATCGTTGAAAACCATGTCCATCTGTCCATTTTTTTTCTTTTGTTTCTTTGCTTGTTTTTTGAAACACGGTCTCACTATGTGACCTAGGCTGTCCTTGAATTTAAGGTCCTCCTGCCTTAGCTTCCTGAGGGCTGGGATTACAGGCTTGGGCCACCACACCCACTTTGTTTCAGCTTTTGCTATTGATTTCTATAAGTTCTTTATAAATTCTAATTATTTGGAAGCTATGTGTGTTGCAAATAATTTCTCCCATCTGTTGCTTTTAGTATTTGTTCATGACATTTTTATTTTTGCTTTGGTCTTTTGGGTCATACCAAAGTTACTACTGATTTATGTTTTTGGTATATGGTAAAGAAAGCTATTCCTTCGCTGAATTGTAGGCATCATCTATATTTTCTTCTAAGAATGTTAAAGTTTTATTTTTCATGTTTAGTTCTTTAATCTACTCATTACTTGTGTATTTTGTGAGGTGGATATTTGGGGTATTTTTCTTTCATTGTCACAGTAGGCATCAACCCAGGGTCTTCTGCATGCTAAGGCAAGCCATCTACCATGCCCAGTCCTAGGCTATCTATTTTGAATGAAAAGCTAGCCAACAATGTTTAGAGAATTTTCTTTTTCACGTGTTACATCAACTCTGTAATGCATCAGAGTTTCAAGTTACATTGGTGCCTTTTATTTCCACTGGTCCATTTATTTGTTCTTAAATGAAGACCACACTAAATTTCTCCACCTTTGTAGCAAATCTGTGTATTTGCTAGGGCTAGCTAGTACCCTTTCCTTGTTTTTCAGAATTTCCAGGTTGTTTTTGGCATTGTATATTTCCATATGTAATTTGAACAATTTTCAGGGGGAAAATTCATAGTGCTTGATTGGAAGTACATTCAGTATGTCCACTAAAATATATTTTGTATAGACTTTTCATCTCTGAATAAAACCTATCCATCTGTTCTGATATTTTAATAAGATTTTATCTAGAAAGATAGTATGCTTTTTTGGTAAGATTTATTCCTGTATGCTTTATAATTTTTCAAATTGGCTATTAGTGTTAGTATTGCTATTGATTTTTCCTTACAATTTTGTATCTGGTACCTTGGTGAACTTTTATAAATTCTAGTAACTTACTAATCCTCTTGGACTTTTTATGTAAGTAATCACATCCTTTGTAAAAAGTAATTTTCTCCTCTTCTGTTCCCTTTTTGATAAATCTTACTCTTTGTTTTATTATATTGGTTAGACATCTAGTACTGTATAATAGTAGTAACAATATTGTTGTATTGTTCCTAACTTGAGTTGAAAGTTTACTGTGTTTGGGAGTCTTAATTTATGAACGCTTTTGAAATTTTAATTAAATGGAGCTCAGGGAGTAACTTGCCCAAGGTAATAGAGGGAATGACAGAAACTAGCTTAAGTGCTCTAACTTTAGAGCTTTTTGTGCCTTAATATAACTCAGACTTCATCTTCATGATGCCATCAAATCTCAGTAGATTTTTTTTTCTAAAGGACTTCTGCATTAGTGCCTCAACCCACACACTGTTCTATAGATGGAAATGAGCTAGATTTTGAGAGGGTTTTCAATTTGTAACACCTACATCGCTTAGTGGCCCTTTCTAAATAAACTTGTAGTGGGTGTTTATCTGTTATTATTGTTACTACTATTTTTGGCTGCCTAACATCTGAACTTCTGGCCTTGTGTCATGAAAATTTGATACCTTGTGAACATTTGGGTGAGACAGCCAACATCCCTGCTCAGAAACCAAAAACAAGATAATTTTTCCCACCCTACCCCCAGCTTAGGTTTACCTGAGTTGACCAGGTGGTTTAGGAAGGTTGCAGTAGGAGGATTGCAAATTCAAGGCACACCCAGACAACTTATATCTTTGTCTCAGAATAAAAGAAAAAATTTAAAGGGTGAGGGATTTAGTTCAGTTTTAAATGGTCCTCGACTGGATTCCGAAAATTCCCCTACAACTTTGATTTTTGTTTGTTTGTTTGTTTGTTTGCTTGCTTGTTTGTTTTTTGAGACAGGGTCTCACTGTGTAGTTGAGACTGACCTGGAACTCACTATGTAGCCCAGGCTGGTCTCAAACTCACAGGATCCTCCTGCCTCAGCCTCCCGAGTGCTGGGATTACAGGCATGCGCCACCATGCCCGGCCTTCTCCTACAACTTTGAGTCAGGAAGTAGTGGCTTGAGGAACCTCACTCTGTTGGCAGAGTGGCAGCTGCATCCATCTTCTGAGGATGGAGTCGCCGTAGCTCCAGTGAGAGCTGTCTGTACACGTTGGTCTCTATCCTGAGGTTTCTGGTAATGTTACAGCTTTGCATTTGCAAAGTTGAAAACTAGATTACAAGAAGATATTACACACTATGTGTCTAGATGGTATCCCTTCTGTGCTTAAATATCTGCATGGAGACAACACTGGGAGAAGTTTCACTAAAATGTTGACAGGTGAAATTTTAAATATGCTCTTATTTTTAATTCTTATAATTTAGGAATCATTTGTTGTTAAAACAGTGTGTTGTCTTTGTATAAAATAGGAAAGAAAGCTGTTTTTCACTTGAGGATCACAAACCCTTTCAACTTTTGGTGTTTGTGTGTAAGAATGTAGACTTTGTAGAGCCAGAACCATATCTTTGTGTCACGTTCTTAGCAGAGGGCATGGACTGAGAGAACATGAATGAGTAGGAAGAACAAATACTTCCGTCATTGGTTAAATTAGGGCCGTTAATCCTATCACTGGGGTTGTGTGGAAGATAGTGAGTGATCCATTACAGGATGTTCAGGGAGTTCTGCTCCACTTGGTGATTCAGGTGTATTTCTTGCATCAACAGTCCCCTCTTACCCACTGTGCTGGGGGCTGAACCCACACAGCCTTGTGCATGCTAGGCAAGTGCTTTAGCAGTGACTATATCCCCCGCTCTCCTCCAAATAGCTGTAACAGTCAAGAGTCAATGAGTTATCAATATTCATATGTAGAAATTTGGACAGGCTGCAGGACTGAAGATCTTCCTACGGAAAACAAGATCTTAATAAGTAATAATTTTATTTGTAATGTATTTCAAAAATGCTCTCGGAAGTAAGACACTTGAGAATGAAATTGTCCAGAATAGAGATTGGGCTTTATAAAATGTTAATTTCTTCGTGAAGGAGTAGGTGCAGAGCCCAGCTGAGTATTTGACATGTGAAAAAAGATAGATTTCTTTGGATGCTGATAACACAACCAGTAAGGGCTTATGTGAGAGCACTAGCCTTTGTGCTGTGGTCTCCTCAGTGTCATGGAGAATTTCAGAGTAGAGAAAGAGGGCATCTAACCGATCAGGGTTGTGAGACAGTGGCCATTTGGAGGAAACTAGGAAGAAACTAGAGCATAAAGAGCCAACTAAGTAAAGTTGAGGTTTGGTTTTAGAAATAAAACAGCTAATTGGCTTTAAATAGTAATTTAGTAGATAATTATTTTTTTAGTAAATAACTCGTGTCTTCAATAAGTAATAATTTAACACTGTTCTTTTTGCTGTAAAATATCCCCGAGAAATACCATGAAGTTTGAATGAGTGTTAGGAAAGTGTAAAGCAATTAGATAGGTTAACACAGCAGCCCAGTGTCTTCTTTTGTACTGTTAGCAAGGGCCAATTCAAATTAAGACTTGCTCGAGTAGGTGGGGTGTTGGGGGCTGAACCCAGGGCCTACACATGGTAAAGAAGTGCTTTAGCCCTGAGCCACATCCCCATCTCTTTATAGTACACAGGACCCTTGACTTACAAACTCCATCAGTTCCCGAGGACTATTTGGTGATAAGTCAGTACAGCTGAGATCTGGATGTTTACCTGGGTGCACACTATAGATAGCAAGAGGCAGAGGAATCTTCCATTAACCTACTAACCCAAGTTGTATGTCAGGTTGGTCTTAATTTGAGGGTCCGCTATACTTTATTTTGGAATAGAGTCTTGCTTAATTGTCCCAGCAGGCCTTGAATTTGTAATTCTGCCTCCACTCCCCAAGTAATTGGAATTATGGGCATGTGCCA